GATTCATCTAACATCATGACTAATTCAAAGCATAATTTCACAGAATCCTAGATTCTTCAATGGTAAAATGGGTGTAGTAAAGAATCTGACTCTATGTTTTTATGTTTGATTGCTGATAGCTTTTAAGCCTCACCCCCCTCTTCTGCAGTCCTACATCTGAGAAAACTGACAAGAAAGCCCAGGTGCTCCCTCCTTTGTACCAGTGGGAAGTTCCAGCCATGTGTGGGAACACCTGGCCCTCCCAGTCACCAAAAATAACCCTAAGTCAGCCTCATTTCCTTGCTCTCTCTCAAGACATGTTTTTTTATCTTCTTGGAGGCTACCCTGCTCTCCCCAGAAGGCCTTATCAAGTTAGTAATAAACCTTAGCTTGCCCTCTTGGTGTATCTGTGACATCATCAGTCTCAACATCTAAATCAAATTTTGGGTCACAACAATAGGAATAATACTAACTACCTTCAAGGATTATTGGGAGAAGTAGAGATAATATAATTAATTACAGTGCTTTGCAATTACATAGTAGGTGCTCACAAAATTGAGGTATCATAACCAACTTAGAACAATGTCTAGAAAATAGCAAGTGCTTTCTAAGTGCTTGATAAATAAGATAAAAGAGCACTTACTATTATTTCGGCTAGTGCATAATCAATGTAATTTTTGCACATGAGAGTAAATCCATAATTGATACCTAAACCTGCATCTAGAAAGCATTTGCTTAACATATGATGTACTCCCAATCCATTTAAAAGCCCATTTAAGAAAAATAAAATGTCTGATTTCTAAAGGTTGTATTTATGAGTTCAGGTGTAGGTATATATTGATAAGAATGTGCATTGAGTTCCTCATGGTAATAAACTGGAGAGTATGTAGGGTGGCTACCATCAGCAGCACAGGTAGAGTTTTAATCTGTTCAGGAATGGAGATCTCCTGTCGGGAATCTGATGATGGTAAAACAGTGGAGTTGGAATAAAGTTCTACTCACCCCACCTAAAGAAGAATTCAGTGAAAGAGACTCATACACACACACCTAATAAAAATGTATACCCAATGGATCTTAAGAGGAGAAGGGATCTAATTGTATATTTTTAAAGTCCCCAAGATTTCCAGAGGTAACAGAACCGAGGGCAGCCTGAGAACACTTGACAAAGACCACCTGTGGCAGTTTGGGTATTTTTCCAATTTGTAATCTCTTTCATAGAAGTTAAGTATGCACTTAATGCAACTGTACTATAAGCATGTGGTTGCAGGTAATCTGTAATCCTTTATCAAGTGAATGTCTACAACCCCTGCCTTGAGTATCTTCAGAGAGATAAGAGACATGAGTTGCATCAGGGAGAACTACCAGGAACCATGTGGAGAATGTGCTGACAGCTAGAGACAACAGCTGGGAAGAAAGACCCTCAAGGGCAGGAACATCGTCAGGATTGCGAGCCAATGTTTGGGACAGGCCCATCTAACCATCTGTCCTTCCGCACAAGTGAAGGTAGATGCCTCTATGAAAAAGACTTCCTTCAAGAACAGTAAATGATATTAGGACTATGCTGTATCCCCGCGGACTTTGATAGTATTGCCTGCTCCTAGGAAGGCCCTTTCTTTCCTTTTAGGAAGTACAGAGAGGACAAGACACTGTGGTCAATGTGATTTGAAGGGGAAAATCTCTACCAAGCGCATTAAACTGAAATGTCTATATTACTGCATGGAAAACTACCTCTTTCATTTTTCATGACTTGTTTCTGACAAAAAAATTGTGTTTGTAGCAAACATCAAAACCATGAGAAGTTTCTCCTTTGATAAAATGTTTTGCAATGTATGGGATGATGTGTATTATGGGAGATAATTTTAGGGGATGGCTCAGACATTAAAGTATATTGAATTATATGGGGCTAAAGTTATACCTTTTAAAACTCATTTCATTTCTTCTGGTAACTTCTAGGGTAAACTTTCAGTTTGCTGCTGGTCCTTCAGCAACCCACTAAACAGTGAGTAAAAAGTGTGAAGGTAGTATAGAATGCCTAAACTTTGGAAATCACTGGGTCAATGTATATTTAAAGTATCGCAAGGCACAATAATTCCCAGAAGATGATGTCTCCCATCAGGTCATCTCAATTCTAAATCCTGAGCTGAAATAGCTAAGAATTGTAGGGAAGGGGAAAACCTGAGATGCTCCTTCCTATGACCCCCCATTTCCTTTCCCAACCATTCAACTTCCCAATATGCATGCTACATCTTCAATTGCTCTTCAACGCCAGAATTTCACCATAAGACAGGAGAGTCCTGTTTTATGGATAATGAAAATAAGGTCATATAGCCATATCAGTTGAAAAGTTATTTTCATCAGACCCACATATTCATTCAATCCACACAACTGAAAGCATATTCAACTTCAAAAAACTGTAATAATAAATTAGTTAGCTCTGCAGTTATCACACAGTAGTAAGTACAAAAAAAATTATTTGACACAGAACTTATGGGGTATCTTTCAACGGAGACCAAAGTAATTATAATTTTAAATGACATAAACCTTAGCAAAAATTCTATAGAGAGACACATATATATACAACATGTATATATGAAGGATCTACTATAGACAAGACGTGTGCTAGTGGCTGTCGTGGGCACGCAAGTCAGTAAAAAGATGGTGCCTGGACTTGCAGAACTTAATTTAGACTAGATTCTCCAAAAGACGATGTATATAAACTTCCTGGCACAGAGCAAGCACTCAATAAATGTTAGTTCTCTTACCCTAATTTTCCCCTTTCAGATTCTCACCCTTAATGCAAAGCGAAAGAGCCCCGTGAATTCCTTTCAAATAAAATGAAAAAAGAATGCATCTCAGGAGGCCCTTTGCCCTTTGAATAATGCAAGTGACTTAACATGTACAAAAGATTTAACTGGAATAGAGTCAGAATTCTCAGAGCAAACAATTTGTAGCCTCATTATCCCAGCTTTAGCCTAACTGGAGGGAGGAAAATTTTTGGAAAGCAGGGCAGAGGATACCCCCTGGGAGGCCACCAGGACAAATTCCAGGATCTGTATGTCCCCACACCAAGCCCGGTCTCATGTCCCTACATGCTGCCAGTGCTGGCGGCTCTGACCACTGCAGGTCTGACATAGCTACAGGCGCAGGAAGAGTTGGCCTTGGGGAATGTCTACATACTTCCTATTCTTTGGAGGAATTATTCATCCTCCAAAGTGACAGAGTTCTTTGCAGGTGAGCCACAGAGCATGCTCACACTTCCTGCTTCAGATAAAGGGACCTGCACAACACCAGTCACAAAGATTCTTGAGAAGACTTGTACATCCAGGGGTTTTTTTTAAGGAAAATGGGCATTTTCTAGTTGCCCAGAGCCTAGTGTAGTGCCTGACATATCTAGACATCCAGGATTTTATGTATTGTTTGAGTAATGAATGAACTAAAAATGTCACTTAAGAAATTGCCAGTTCTGTTTGACTGACCTATATCAGTGATAATACCTAACAATGTTAATAGTCAGACACTGTTCTAAGGACATGAAGATACTACCTTTTTTTAAAATTTTTTTAATCCTTGCAATATTACCTCATGAGGTGGATATAGTTATTAATAGGAATAACTATTATTCTATCCACTCTACAGGTAAGAAAAGAAAGACTCATAACAACTTGTGTGTGACCACCCAGCTAACAGCTGGTGAAGCTGAATTCAGGCCCACAGTCTGGCTCTGGAGGCAGCGCTCCTAACCACTAGGCTATGCTGCCTCACAGGAATAGTAGAAGCAAAATTTCCACTTATACAGTTCCCTTCTTACAAAGAGAGGCTTGAACGTAGGCATAGCCATGCGTGTTTTAGTAAATACACACCCACATCCTGAGGAGGTAGCAAAATCTGAAATCCTGAACTTTATTTCGTGAGGGCCCTGGAACTGAAAAATATACAGTCCTCTCAATTGGATTATGAAGACAAACCTCACAGTTCAAACTAAGCAATAGTTTGCAAATACATAGCTTTACAAACCAACCCATATATAAAAATTCAAGAACCAAGCTTTGGTTTGAGGTCCTACTATGAATAATCATGTATCTAACTTACAGTAGACTCTAGACTGACTTCTGCAGTGTAATCATTAACTCCAAACAGGTCAGGGCTAATTCAAAACACACAGAAAGAAGTCCAGGACATTACTATTTCTTGAAGCTCTCAACTGCATAAAAATGTGAAGAAATGCAAACACATGGTTACTTAATGTGAAGATTCTCTTAACTATTTATATTAATAATTTAACAAATTACTTTTTAAACAAAACATAATGTGGAGTACAAACTGAGCTATTTAAAAGATAATTAAATAATTTATAAAAACTTTAATTCAAAATACAGTTGGCCTTTGAACAATATGGGTTTGAGTGACTCAGGTCCACTTACATGCAGGTTTTTTCTTCAATATATTGGAAAAATTTTGGAGATTTGTGATGATCTTAAAAACCATTTTCTCTAATTTACTTTATTGTAAGAATATAATACATATACAATATATTTGTTAATCAACTATTTATGTTATTCAGTAAGGCTTATGGTCAACAGCAGTCTATTAGTAGTTACATTGTGGAGGGGTCAAAGTTATACATGAATTTTTTACTGCATGGGGGGTCAGCTCCCCCAGCCCCTGTGTTCTTCAAGGGTCAACTGTATGCTGCAGAAGATGTGACTTGGTAATGGGACCCAAGTATAAAGTTGCTGGTAAATGCCTTTGTGAATGTGGGTAAAATCTCATTTGGAGATGTAATTTTGAGACCCTTTCTGAATGGCATGTCCTGAGCCAAATGGCCTTCCTAATGCCCTGTGGTAGACACTGATGAAATCTAAACATATCCCCTAACCCTCCCTCCTTTCCTTCCATCTTCCTTCCACTTATTTAACATTTCAAACAATTTCAAACATTTCAAATGATTACAAATTACATGTTTACCTGATTAAAGAATCTAAAAGTCTAATAATGATTACAGTCAAATTCTTTCCCACCTCTGTCCCCCTCATCCAGTCAATTCCCATTTTCCCCCAATAAATGACCATTCTCATTAGCTCCTTGTATAGTGTTCCGGAGGTTGTTTTTATTCATATACGAGTGAATACCAACACAAAGCTCCCCTCCTTTATGCCTAAATTCACAGCATATTACGGATACCCTTCTGTATTCTCCACTGAACAATATGTCTTTGAGATTCCTCTGTATCAGCACACAAGGAGTGTCCTCATCCTTTGCACAGCTGCGCAGTATTCCACTCTATGCTTGTTGCAAAATACATTTGGCCAGTGACCTATTGATGAATATTTAGGTTTTGTACCATTATTTTCTTATTTCATACCATGTTACAGTGCAAAACACACCCATTCATCATTTTACTTGATTAATCTACTTCCTAACCATGTCTGTTTCCTTGCTGGATTCCTTCCAGTGTTCACTTCAAATATTGGTCTTTCATGGGGTTTTATTTTCCTCTAATACTAAAGTTTCTCTGAAAAAATCCCAACTACTTTCATATCTCAACTTTCATATCTCAATACATGCTTTTGGCTCTACATTTATATCTTCAGCTCCTACTTCCTTCCTGAGCACTCCATGTCCAGCCATCTAAAGGATACCCCAAGCCCATCACATCTAAGTACAATACACTACTTTCCCCCACAACCTTCTTTCCTCTTATATTTCTGTCTCTGTTACTAGATTCATTTTGTAGCCCAGGTGATGAAACTAGAGTCATCCAAAGACACAACAAACACTTGTTTCTGTATCCTAATGGCTCACAAATCCACCCCTCTCTTTTTCACCTCAATATTTTTACCTTAGTTCAGTCTTTCAGTTGCCTTGCACCTTTGAACTGGCCTCCAACTCCAGAGTAGGTGCTGCAAACTGAAACACCTACATGCAAAAGAAAGGTAACAACTATAAAACAGGTCAGGTGTAGATATTCTGGTGTGGTGGCAAATTGGAGAACACATGCTTTATATAAAGCACTTCCAGGTCTTTAAAGTAAGCGTAGTACTTGGGTTGCTAGATTTAGCAAATAAAAAATCAAGACTCTCATGCAATATTCGAGACACAATTATACTAAAATATTATTCATTGTTTAGCTGAAATTCAAATTTAATTGTGCATCATGTATTTTATCTGACAACCCAAGCCAGACATGTCTTCAGAGGTAAGAGGGAGGACAAAGGAGATGACAGATGACACGTGCTAAGAGCGACTGGAGTTAGACTGTTGCCTCAAGAAGCAGAAAAACCAGAGAAGGCAGGAACTAATAAAAGTGTTAGAACTTTGTCTAAGTGTCCATCAGTAGATGAATGGATAAAGAAGAGGTGGTACATATACACAATGAAATATTATTCATCCATAAGAAGAAAACAAATCCTACCATTTGCAACAACATGGATGGAGCAAGAGGGTATTATGCTCAGTGAAATAAGCCAGGTGGAGAAAGACAAGTATCAAATGATTTCACTCATATGTGGAGTATAAGAACAAAGAAAAAATGAAGAAACAAAACAGCAGCAGACTCACAGAACCCAAGAATGGACTAACAGTTACCAAAGGGAAAGGGACTGGGAAGGATGGGTGGGAAGGGAGGGATAAGGGCGGGAAAAAGAAAGGGGGCATTACAATTAGCATGTATAATGTGGTGGGGGGGGCAGGGGGAAGGCTGTGCAACACAGTGAAGACAAGTAGTGATTCTACAGCATCTTACTACACTGATGGACAGTGACTGTAGAGAGGTATGTGGCGGGGGGACTTGGTGAAGGGGGGAGCCTAGTAAACATAATGTGCTTCATGTAATTGTAGATTAGTGATAACAACAAAAAAAAAGTGTTAGAAGTTTGTGTAGTGGATATAGACTGGTATCCATTGCTCATATGTTGTATTGTATCCCCCCAAAAAGATATGCTTAGGTCCTAGAACCATTACTTGTGAATGTGATCTTACTGGAAATAGGGTCTTTGCAGTTGTAATCAAGTCAAAATGAGGTCAAACTGGATTTGAGTATTACATAAGATGAAAATTTGAACACAGAGACACAGAGAGGAAAATGCCATGTAAAGATGTAGGCAGAGATTGGAGTGATGCAGGGACAAGCCAAAGAACTCCAAGGACTGCTGGTCACCACCAGAAGAGAGGAAGAGACAAGGAAGGATTCTTTCCTAGCACCTTCGGAGGCAGCATGGCCCTACTAACAGCATGATCTTGGATTTCTAACCTCCAGAATGGTGAGAAAATACATTGTATGGTTTTAAGCCATCCGATTTGTGGTACTTTGTTACAGCAATCCTAAGAAACTAAATCCTAGGGAACTAATTGGCCTAAGCCTTTCCCTCTGCAATCCACCTGGTTACAGAAGACACTTTCAGCAGCAATACTGATGTGAGATTGGTCTGAGGCAGGGATGGCAGGAGGAAAACTAGTGACTTCAGCTGAGCCAGCATCCCTTCACCTGGTGTTTCAGTCGTTCTCAACTATGCAAACATGGGAATCTACCTGTGTGTCCTGCTACAAGGTCTGGAGATTCAACATCAGTCTATCTGCAGAGATATGACCAGCCCTGATAATAAATGAGTCCCTGGTTCCCATTTGAGCCCTGTGGCCCAGCCCATACCTTTGCCCCAAGGTTTCTAAGATGACCACCTATCCTTATAATAAATCCCCACTTTTCATTTAAACTAGCTTGAGCTGGTTTTGTTAAGGTCTCTGTTACCTGTCACCAGAAGAGCCATCCATACCATTTCTAATTATCTCTGGGGAATGGGCAAGCGTCCATCTGGCTGGATGTACTAGCTTTCTAGGGCTTCTGTCACAAAGTACCACAAACTAGGTGAGGCTAGAAGCTCAGACTCAGGTGTTGGTGGGGATGGTTGCTTCCAAAGGCTCTGAGGGAAGGGTCCGTTCCAGGCCTCTCTCCTTGGCTTGTAAAGGGCCACTTTCATGTTCATTTGGCATTCATTCTGTGTGTCTGTCTCCAGATTTTCAAACCTTTTATAAGAATAACAGTAGTATTGGATTAGGGTCCACCTTAACGACCTCATTTTAGCTCACTCACCTCTGTAAAGACCCTATCTCCAAGTAAGGTTGCATTCTGAGGTACTGAGGGTTAGGATCTCAACATATTCAACAAACACATTTTTAGGGGGACACAATTTAACCTATAACAGTAGGAGGCCCATCTAAGACTAAAAAGTCCTGTGACATTTGCAGAAACTCATTAAGTTACATTATACCCAATGGTCAAACAAAGGGTAGGCTATTTTTGGTAGTGACCTCACCTTGTTTTCAGAAAATGGCTGGGATTTAGGATCAAAGGAAACTGTGCTGACTCTAATTTCACTAAAGACTTAAGCACAGAAACTAAATTTAATCCTCTTTGCTTCTCTCACCACCCACTGAAACTTTAATGCTCTGAAAATATCCCCTCAGACTTCCTAGGCTGCATTTCTAATTTCACAGTTCTGTCTTCTTTTGGTTGCCATCATTGATTTTAAAACATTTACATTTAAAGAGAGATATTAATGAAAGAGAGGCCAGCTTGTTGTTCAGGAAGGACTTTGCAAAGTACATTGAGGGCCAGAGGTAGAAGGGGGTCCTTAGTCTAGGATTTACTTTGCAGGGGTTGAAATAACAAAGCTTGCAAACTCAGTTTTCTGTATATTCATTTAAAATTTTCTCTGTAGATAACTGCATTTCTAAGAAATTTTTTTTACTCAGGAGATGCCATATTTACAGAGAAATAACTTAATGGAGAGTCTTATAAATGCTTCCAAAGGGCTGGCAAATATCTCTAAGATTCTAAATCCCGTAGATTTTAGGTTCAGAAACCTACCTAGACAAAACTGATGTTCCCCAAACTGTTAAAAGTCTGATGGGTGCACAATCCAGAACATCAAGCTCTTTACCCATTCTGGTGTATAGACCTTTCAGGGATGAGAATACTGATATTTGTTATTCAGGAAAGGCCCTTTACAGGAAGTAGGTGGATCCAAGAGCCCAAGAAGTGGACTATGATGGACACTGCAGTGCACCAGCCAGTCTCCCCTCCAGGACGAAAGCACATATTCCCTCAGTTACGGAGGCTATGATGGCTGATGGCTCACAGTGCCCTCATCTGGAGAAAGCTTCTTCAACCAAGATCATGCCCCCTTCTCAGGGCAGCCTGCATGTTTTGATTGATGCTGTGGTAAAAGTCTTCATCTTTTGCTCCAACTCAAGATAATTCAGGAAAATTCTGCAAGGCCATCCTGCTCCACAGGGATTATCTTATATACCAGTTGTGGAAGCCTTGTAGCTTACCTTTGTCCTCTGCCCCATCCCCAATAACTTTTCCGTAGGTAAACCTCCATCCAGAGTCTGCTTCCCAGGGAACCAGATCTGCAAATAATTGAAGATGTTTGTACTATCATATCTGACCAAAAATAAGAGAGGTAATAAACACAATAATCCTAATAGATACTAATTATTTGGCAGGACCTGGACTAGCTCCTGAGGATAAAAAGATGAGTAAGACCATTCCTCCACCTGCAAGGAGCTACCGGTAGATATTCTAACATGCACAGCCATGGGGTAGAGGTATCCGATGGAAACTCAAGGCCGGGTCAGAGAAAGCTTCCTGACGATGCTGTCCCATCTGGTTTGGAAGGATTAGTAATAGTGCACCCAAGGATGGAAGACAAGAAAATACTCCAGGTAGAGGAAAGCATGAGCAGTGTATTCAGGGCGATCATTGTCACTCCCGAAGTTACCAGAACATGGAGTTGACTAGAAGTTTAATGCCACCAAATGCAGCTCATTCAGTAAACCAGTCACAATTACAAACCAACGGGGTTGGTGAACAGTGGGTGGATGGGTGGGTGGGTAGAGTCGTACCATAGTATTTTCAGTGCTAAGGGCCTCTTAAGGCCTTTAACCTTTACACTTTAAGAAGGGCAATGAGAATGGAGAGGGAGAGCAGGGTTATTTCCATCCATTATGTGACCTCTTCACTGTGTCCTTTATTTCCACACTAGGGAAGGACATCCCTCCATCAGAAATGCACAAAGATTTCCCTTGAGCCATCCATCAGCCCATACCACCTCCTCATCAATTGGGCATCAGAAAACCCCTTCTGTCTGGGTGCCTTCTCTCCCCCTTTTTCCAAGTTCTCATCAGTCTTTTTGCCCCCTCTGTCCTACCTCAAGGCCTTGCTTATTCTTTCTAGCCTGTGACTCAGGTGACTAGTAAAACGGAACCACGCACTCTTTCCCTTAGCGGAGCCAGGGGCCATCATCGAGTGGGGTAGGGAAGAGACTTCCGGTCCTGTACTTAGATTCAGGGGACAGAGGAAACAGCCCTTTCATTCCCAGCCTCAGAGTGAAACATTCACAAGATAAAGCAATCACCTGCCTCTGCTGGCCTCCTGTCGTAATATAACTCAGATGCTCTGGGATGCAAATTGTCTGACATTTCCTTTCCCAACAAAAACTTGCTTCCTCTCCTCCCTTTTCTAAATCCTCGTTTGGTATGGGCAGGAGCCCTAAATGATGAGTGGCTAGGCACCCTACCAAGGAAGAGATGCCCTGATATATGAGGCTTGGAGATGCCCCAACACATAAGTGATGGGTCAGCATCCAAACCCTGGTCTGTTGACACCAAAGCCTATGGGCGTTTCAGGCTACTGCTATGAGGAGAGGGCAGGATGGTCACCGACATACAGAGCCAGTCCAGTGTTGGGTGTTTTACATGGGTCACCTCATCTAGTTCTCCCAGAAACTCTGTGAAGGAGATAAAAATTCAAGAGCAATCCTCCTCAAACAATTCCATCAAATTGCTTTTTAACATGCAGAGAGCTAGATCTCAGCCGTGTATGGTCCAGGAGGGCAGCTGTGAGCAAATGCTGCAAACAGGAAATATGTATATACATGGCCTCATGTTCCCTCTATAATTTCATTAAAAAATGTAGGGTCCAACTCCATGAAATGTTTAATGTTTGTTTTACTTGTTCAAAGTGATGTTCCTTCCCCTTCAAATTTGCAAGTGAGATTGACACTCCATAGAGGTCTCCCTGTCCGTGTTATGGCTTCCATCACCTTGCTTCTGGAGCATCACCAAGTGGAAGTCTTAGAATTATCAACAAGTTTAGAAATGTATTTTACGGTGGCTTATGTCAGCAAATAGGGTATAAGCTGCAACGGGAAGAGACTGCCTGTCTTGTTTACCATGGTATGTTTAGCACATAAAGCAATGCCTGGGAACTATTGGGAGCTCAAAAAGCACTTGTTGAATGATAGTAAGAGGCAATGCCTGGAGTGTAGGCTTTTATAAGTAGTTGGCGCACTCTCCAAATCCCTGTTTTCACTTGAGAAATTGAGAAACAATTTGTACAATGCACACCATGCAAACGTTTTATGTATTGTTATGGAAAGGTAGTCAGGATTAGTCTAAAGCTTGGCCAAATTAGGGATACAGCCCTTCTCTTGGCCACATTTTGTTTTGATTCTTGTTTTCTTTCAATGAGAATATTGAAGACACAAAAGATAGCAGATAGACCAACAGGCACCATTTTACCTTGGTTCCCTATAAAAGGCTTCACTAAATAATATACAGATGTTACCTGTACGGTTTCAATCTCTCAGCTGGGTGTGAGACTCCTCATCCATTCGGACAGTAGCTTGGTTGCCTGTCTGAGTCAATTCAGTTATTTTTTTTCTAACAAGATGGATCACAGAGGGTAGAGGTATTTTTACTCTCTTTTATATCTTCCCTGGGGCAAAAGTTATGGGGCTATAACAGTATCTGTTATGATCTGAATGTCTGTGCTCCCTGCAAATTCATATGTTGAAGTCCTAATGCCCAGTGGAAAGCTATTAGGAGGTGGACCTTTGGAGGTAATTAGGTTTAGATGAGATTGTGAGAGGGGAACCCCCATGATGGAATTAATGTCCTTTTAACAAAAGGAAAAGACCAGAGCTCTCTCTCTCCACCATGTAAGAACTCTGCCACATGGTGGTCATCTGCAGGCTAGGAATAGAGTTCTCACCAGGAACCAAATCTGCTGGCACCCTAGTCTCAGACTTCAATTGTCCAGAACTGTGAGAAAATAAGTGTCTGTTCAAGCCACCCAGTCCAGCCTATGCCATTTTGTTGCAGCAGCCTGAGCTAAGACAATATCTAACCACAAATCTCTTTTTGCCTTGTTTTGAACACAAAGGGGTAAGTTTATTTCTATGTTTTATAAAATTATTAAAGGCATGATTTCTAAACAAAGGGGCTTCAAGAAAAGATGGATAGATTTGCTTGTTTTCTTTCTATATAGCAGCTATGTGGGCTTTCTTTGGGAAAGGGGTGCTGAAATTTTGGTATAATAACAACAGACAATTGTCATAGTGTGCTAATCTCAGTTGCTTACCATGACAAGGAAAAATTGTTACCTGGAAATCTCTCATGAAAGAAATTTCCCTATGGGTTTCCCATAATAATGATCTAGTATATGAAAAAATATGTATTGCATAATTATAGTTTTAACAATATATGTATTTATAGGCATAAAAATATTCTGGAAGGATATATCCAAAGGGACTAATAGAAGTTATAACTATATATTAGAATTATGTGTACATTTCTTTTTTGCTTTTTGCTTATCCTCATTTTTTTGCCACAAAAATACTGCTTTTATAATAAGACAAAATGTTCCAACTACTAAAATAATACAAGATTAAGAAAAGCTACATAAAGTTTTTGAGAGTATCAAAATTGCACTTAGATTCTATGCTTTCAGAAGGGGGTAATAAAATTAACATTTATTAGATACTTGCTATGTTTCAGCAAACCTGCAAAGTGAATGGTATTATTTTCATTTTAAAGATGAGGAAACTTGAAGTTCAAGGAGGTTACATAGATAGTCTAAATCATAAACCACTACCAAGCAGAGCCAGAATTAAACCAGATTCATCTGATCCCAATGGCTACACTCTCTCCACTAGACCAGACAGCTCCCAGCACTGCACTACAGGAAGAGGCAGAGACCTGGTTTCACTCATCACCATCCATGGTGCCTTGTATACAATAGCCAATGGCTGCCCCTAAGTTGCATCTGAAGCTCCTTTCCTAGAGTTCAGGGAAGAGGTGTCCAGCTCACAGACACTCCACTTGTCCCCTTTATTCACCCTGAGTAAAGATGAATAGTTCTGTGATTCTTGTTACAATTGCCCTGCAAAGTGCTGTGTCTTTTAAGACTAACTGTGGCTTACATTCTCTCTGCTTATAGTAAAAGCCCATTATTAGGATGACTTAGAGCCCTTTGATCATTCTGAGATACACGTGCTCTTGAAGGAAGCGTCTCTACATCATGGCTGACTGACAATTGACCTCTTAACAACTGGCAAAGCATCACAGTGCTTCCTCAATTGTCCTTTGTTTTCCTGTCCTGTTGAATGTTTTGTTCAGTGTGTTTGATTCCACATCACACCAAGGAGCTTCGGGCAATTAATTTATGATCTCTCCTTGTCATCAAATTACTTCTGTGAAGAGCATGATTTCCAAACACTGTTTTCCCACCATTAGCATGGGTGTAGTGGGCACTGCCTGGTCCACTTCAGAATAGGCTTGGCTAAGTGGCAAGTTATTGGCAAGAAGCCAGTGTTACAGGTGGAAGAGAAGCCAAGTATGAACAGAATGGTGATGAGGGCTAACATTTAGGGAGTGGAGGGAAATTCTCTGGGATGTGTGGTGACAGAGGGAAAGTACCTGCATTACTACAGGGACTATTTATGAAACTTTTACAATGGGCCAGACCCTGGGCTAAGTGTTTTACATGTGTCATATGATTCACATGTGTCATGTGATTCATCCCCACAAACAGGCTGATCCAAGGTGTGCAAGACTCTGAAGATTATATACATTTGGAATGGGCGTCTTTTAGAATATAAAATTAAAAAGACAACATGCGTACAGCCACCCTCTGAGGGGCGCATACAAGTGAGGTGCCTTGATGCTTATATTTCCTAATCCATTCTGCGCATAAGGAAGCTCAACCAGGTTAAGTAACTTGCTCAGTCACAGAGCTACCCAGTGGCAGAGTGAGGATTGTACTCCAGCTTCCAAAATCCTTACAGAATTGCCCAAAGTCCTCTCATAGGCAATTCATGAGGACAAACTCCTTTGAAACAGCAGCACAGAACCTTGATGTGGTTCTGAGAGTTTTCTGTCAGAGCCCAGCCCCCGTCAGAACCTGCAGGGCTTGAGGTTGTGGACTCCTGCCAAAGACCTCTGCAGGAATCTGCATCTTTCAGATTCATAGAATCTGTAAGGAAAGCTACTGAGGAGGGAGAAGAAAGATGGGTTTTAATGACTCTGCTCATTGTCTTCACAAATGAAAAAGAATGGGAAAAAACTTC